CATGCATCCCGACTCGCTCGCGCTGCAGGAGCCCGACAGCCAGCTGATCGGCCTCGGCCTCGAGCACGTGCTCTTCACGTGGGCCTTCACGCTGGTGTGGTTCCTCATCCAAGACGTCTGCAAGGTACTCCTGTACAAGCTCCTCTACGCCTTCGACGTGAGCGGCATCCGAACCGAGGCCGAGGCGAACGCCGCGCGGAGGGCCAAGAACGAGGCCATCCTCGGCAAGCAGCCGAGCAAGAGGGGCGCGCGGGCCGGGGGAGCGCGCCGCAAGGCGAGGCGAGGCGAAATGCAGCTCGCAGAGATGCCGCTTGAGGTTGAGCTCGAGGTGTGAGACGGACGCTACGGCTTTAACACGCGTGACGCGCCGCGGGCGTGCAGGACCTTCTGTTGTTTGCGCGCAAAACTCGGTTTATTTTATGGTGTCTCGTTCTTCTCTCGAGTGTGTGAGAGACTGAGAGAGACCAGAGTGCAGAGAGTTTGGTTGTTAGTGATGGAGCGGCCGCACATTGCCCACACACACCATGTCCCCCATAGCCCATTTGAGCGGCCGCACACTGGCTCGGTCCCCCCCTGCACATCTAAAGCCATGGCCGACCCCCCCCCCCCCCAGCAGCAGCGCTCTGCTGCTGGGGGGGTCCGGACCCCCGCCCCCCAGCAGGAGCGCTCTGCCTGTGGCAGTGGGGGGTGCTGGCATCTCTGTACAGACAGCAGCTGTAGCTTGTAAAGTACATGTCCACATGTGTTCCAGTGGTGAGAATTTATGGTCGGCACCAAAATCAGTGGTCTCACCGGCGGGCCCTCCTACTGCCAACCGGGCTCGAAGGCGCGGTGAACACAACCGCCTCGAGCGTACGCTCAAACACGAGCCGAGGGTGGAGGGGGGGCGGCGGCGAAGAGAGCTGGGTCCGTGCGCTCTGCTGCTGGGGGGGTCGGGACCCCCCCCCCAGAAGGAGAGCATCTCTACTGGGACCGGCAGAATCCCCACGGTGCACAGCACCATCATCTGGATGCTCATGAGGTACACGCGCAGCCTGGACCCCTCGGGCATCACTAGCGTCTCCGGAGCGTCCACATGCGGCACAAAGCCGCGCCCGTCGAAAAAGCCTCTCCACCGCTCCATCCCGCCCTTGTTGCCCCGCACGATCTTCGTGAGGGACGACTGCCGCTTCTTCACCATTGGCTTGCTCTCCGCGTCGAGCCGCATGCTCGCGTTGCTCTCCGAAAGCCCATCGCCATCATCCACCTCGGGTGGATCCGCCTCGTGGTCTGCTGCCCACAGCCCCTTGTGGAAGGCTGCGATGAACTCGGGCCGGGGCCGCTCCTCGTTCTCGTAGCCAACCATTCCCCACTCGTGCGCCAGCGTGGCCTGGCGGCGCTTCCACGACTCCGCCATCAACGTGCACCACAGCGCAGAGGCGCATGCGTACAGCGGCGTGCCGAGCGCACCAACCGGCGACAGCTCGACGACAGCGGCGATGAGCGCAAGCACCTGCAGGCACGCCGTTGGGACGCGCGTTGGGACGTGCCTCGGGTGGTAGGAGCAGAGGGTCTGGTCTACGGAGCAGCGGCCGCTTGGCTCCAGCGGTGCGTGGCTGATGCGCGGGGCGCAGGAGGAGAAGGGACGCACGCACCGTCAGCGAGTTGGTGTAGTGCTCCATCCAGGCAAAGTACATGGCGATGCTCTCGCCATAGTACTCCCGGACCTCCCCTATCGGCTGCTGCATCAGCCCGAGGTCCGGAAAGAGCCGCCGGTTCGCAAACGGCCACGAGCGCACGGTTAGCCACTCTGCGTTGAGCGAGTTCCTCTCTGCAATGGAGTGCAGACCAAAGTAGCAGATCAGTACG